ACGGGCGGGAGGCGGGGCGGGAGGAAGATACGGCCCGCTGGAAACCAAGGCCCGTGGTGGGAGGGCGGGGCGATCTGAGAAAGGCGGGTTGATAGGTTGGACTGGCTCAGGGGCGGGATGAAGGGCGGGACTCTAACGCCAATAACGGCCAGAGTGCTTGCCGCTGCGCGGTGCGTTTTGCGCAAGCGCGACTCTTTTGAATCCTCCTTTGCGCCTGTTTATTTAGGACCTAGTTTGAAGTGCGGAACCCGAGGCTCCTGGGCTGCCGCCTCCGTCCGGAATCTGACTCAAGGCGGACGACTTTTTTCTTGACCCTCCTGGAACCCTGGCCTGCTGGGGTTTCTCTCCCTGGCCTCAGCTGGGCTTTGTGGGCCGGAAACATGGCCTCCTTTCATCTGGTAAGTTCTGGTCTGGACCCTGACTCTGACCTGAAGCGGCGGCCCTGGGGTCGAGCGGTCCAGACGCCGGGCGGGTGGGTCGAGGTGGGTGCTCTGGGGTGATCAGGGGTGGGTCGGGTGGGTGCTGTGAGCGGCTGTCAGGGGTGGGTGCTGTCAGCGGCTGGTCAGGGGTGGATGTTGTGACCGGCTGGTCGGGGTGAGTACTGTGGGGGTGATCAGGGGTGGGTCAGGGTGGGTGCTGTGAGTGGCTGGTCAGGGTTAGGTGCTCTGGGGGTGATCAGGGGTGGGTCGGGGTGGGTGCTGTGAGGGTGATCAGGGTTGGGTCGGGTGGGTGCTGTGAGCGAGTTGTCAGGAGTGGGTTGAAAGCAGCACAGGTAATAAAGCAGATGTAATTGTGGACCACCAGCTGGAGTAACTGGACTGTTAGTCTCAAGGTTTCCCACCGTAGTCTCGTCTATGCCTGCTTTTATTTCTGAAGAGATTGTTCCCGTTTCCACATTTTAGCCTCGATTTCCTAGTCTTCCAAATACTCCTTACTACTGTACAAGTCCGTCTTGACGGCCTGGAAATACTTGAGTATTAATTTCTCCTTAGAACAAAAACCAACCAAACAAAACCCCCTGAACTTATACTTTTTGTCAAAGTGCTATTATGTGTAGTTTCTAATATTAATGGGACACCTGTTATTGATAAAGCTTTTATTTAAGACAACCATTTTTTTTAAAAAGGTGCCAACTTTGAATGTCTGGCTTGGACCAGAACTTGCCACTTTGTTTCTTGACGCATTGATGTTCATTAGTCTTTCAAATTTTAGTGATTACTATGCCCTAACCTAGCAGTTCTCTTTATCTTTTTAAGAAAATCTTCATCGATGATCTCCTATTATGTAGCTGTATATGTATGCTTGAACATGTATGAAATGACAATATAGTGTGCATTCTGTAAAATTATATATATCATATATAATTTACACTGTATGTAATCAGAGGAAAAGTCTTTAAAGCCACAAAGCAACAAAACGTAACAGATGTTTGTTGTATATTATCAAATACCTATTAAAAACCTACCACTGTTTTGAGTTTATTAGTTCTGATAACAATGTGTTGTCTATGTAGAAGATAAGGGCAGAGAAGAGAAGGTATTCATATATACTTAAGTGTTTTCAAGGGCGTTTCCTACCTTAGACATACTTGTTTTTAACCAAAGAAACTTTTGTTTTTTCTTAGTGTGGGTTTGGGTTTTGGATAGGGAGGATGAGGGAGTGCTAACAAGGTACCTAAGTACCTAGTGGATAGAGACCAAGAATTCGGCTAAGCGACCTACAACAGGATGCCATCTACTCCAAATAGAGGTTGGCAAATCCAGTTGTGTTGTACAATTTTTTCTTTCCTGTGAACTATAGTCTTGGTGGAAGAAAACCAAGTTGAGATCAACTGAAGGATAGGTTGAAGTTGGCAGGTTGTAGTTTCAAATGAATATTTTCTAGATTTTAACTGAGAACTGTCTGTGCTCTGCTCCTGGTTCTCTCACTGTGTTTTCTCTATTATCTATCCCTAGCTGGTCTCGCATCTTCCATATAGTCTTGTTTAGGCTACTTCTTTCTTTCTCTGCTCTGGGCTCTTTCCAGATGCCTCTGGCCATTGTAACTCATATCTACAATAAAAACCTTCCCCTTAACCATACCATGTCATGCTGTCAGTTTTATGATGTGTTTTTTTTTTAATCTCTCCTATCTACCTTTATTAAGATGGAGTCTCACTATTTAGCACAGCCAGGTTAATATCAAAGTTGAAATCCCCTGGCCTTAGCCTCATCAAGTTCTGGGACTGCAAATGAGTACCCCTGTGCTGGGGAATTGCTCTAGTATCGTTTGCATGTTTTATTCCTTCTGTCTTGTCTCAAGTTCTTGTTCTGCATCTCTGTGGCTTTCTTTTGGGCAAATTAAACTCCTTCACTGAGCGCACAATATTTATATATATTACATTAATATATCCAATGAAGGATATTATATATTATATGTACTATATATAAAATATATATAATATTTTACTTTAGGTTGCTACTGCTTTTTTTTTTTTTTCGAGACAGGGTTTCTCTGTAACTTTGAAGTCTGTCCTGAAACTAGCTCTTGTAGACCAGGCTGGCCTCGAACTCACAGAGACCCGCCTGCCTCTGCCCCCCGAGTGCTGGGATTAAAGGCATGCGCCACCACCGCCCAGCTTGCTACTGCTTTTGTTATATTTCATTATTTATCATGCTTTCTCTGTTTTCCATCTTTCAGAAAATTGTTGGGTGTTTTTGCAAATGGCTTTCTATTCCATTTTTATTGTTGTTTTATGTCTTGCTATTTCATTTAGTATGTGTACACACTCATGTGACGTGTTTATCAGGGGACAACTTCGTGGAGTTAGTTATTTTTTCCTAACTTAACTAGGGATCAAACTCATGTCATTAAGGTTGTATTATGGGAATGCAGCTCCTAATTAGCCATCTTGCCCTCCCTAAAATCTTTATAGTATTAATGGGACAATTAACAGATACTTGTTAACAGAGTAAATGAAAAAAAATATGTTCTTTTCTTAATCTTGTATTGTACTGGAATTATTTTGAAGATGAATTATATTTGATTATAGTTTAAAAAATTGATAGTTAACTTTTCTTTCAGGATCATCTAAAGAATTACCACAGAAGATTTTGCCGGCCTTCCAGGTGACATGCTTATACTTGAACTTTTAAGACAACTTATTTTCATCTTTGGAAACTGTTTTTTAAATTGAAGATAGAAAAATCTGTTACCTTTGACTGGTTGATTTCTATGTGCACTTATTTTATGCACTTATGTTTTAATTATTTTATATAAGAGAGAAATATTAATACAAGTCATGCAATAACGTAATAGAAGTAAGAAAAAAATGCTTATATAGAATTGTGGACAAGAAGAATTGAACATTGAATTATTAGCACTGAATGGTGCTATTATGGTAATATGGTAATATTAGTGAAATATGTTTGTTTTGATAAGTATTGAAGTATACTTATTTCAGTAAGTTTTTGGACCATAAAAGAGCTTGTATTTTGTTTGAAAGATTTTTTTTTCTGTACTTAGCAGACAATAACATAAGTTACAAACATCTTACAGAAATGATATATTTACCTTTTCTTTTTTATTAGAGTACCCAACATTCGTGGAAAGCAAGGCCAGAATGTGCTGGAAGTCTTACAAGACTGTTTTGATGAACAAAGTAAGGCTTCATTTCTAGATGGACTTTCAGAATTGGTGTAGATGATAATAGAAATTTATCACTAATGTCTAATGTGGCAGATATGTTCTAGCATTTAAGTATATAGAACAATTTCTTTATACCTTTGAGTATACATAACCAATCCTTGTACATTTTGGTATATTGAGGGGAATATAGAATATTACTGATATAGCTACAGTAATGTGTCACCTTTAATTTACACTAGATTCCTAAAATTTGAAATTCCATAGATCAGTTACATTCCACAAAAGAAAATATTTCCTTTGTGAAAATCTAAAATCATAAATGCTTGGAAATTCAGGACTTTGGATATGAATATCATGCATGGAAATTTCTATGAAACTTTATTTTGTGCACAAAATTACCTCCAGTCTTTGTGTATAATGTGCATATGAAATGTAAATAAATTTTGTATTTATACTCAAGAAAATTCTTTAAGATGCGTATGTAAATATTCCAAAGTCTGCTTAAAACACTAAATTAGATACTTAGAGATCCAAGCATTTCTATATGGGAAATAATATAAGGGAGAATTTGAATTTGAAGTGCTTTGAGTAACTTACATCTGTTTATTTCAAAGTGATGAATTAGGTAGGACAAAATATGTTCTGAGGCTGAGCATGAGGAGCTGAGTGGAGAGGTGGTAGATACTGTTGTTTAATGTCATCTCCAAAAGATGACTTGGAACATGGATTTCCAGTGCAGTAGTTTTCAGAGATGAGACTTTTGAGGTGTGATTAGATCGTAATGTTTCTGTCCTCATGAATGAATTTAAGCTATCCTTCAAAGGCCTTGGAAGCTTTTGTCAACTCTGTGTCTTGCTTGCTTGGGATAAAATAAAGACTCTTGCTAGATACCAAATTTCTGAGATCTCTGGCTTTTTCAATCATTCAGTTTCCTGTATTTATTTTGCAGATCTGGGTATGAAGCCCAGGGTTTTGTGGCTGTTAGGCAAGCATTCTGTTACTGAGCTACACCCCTAATTCAGTCTCAGGTATTCTGACAGCACAAGAAGTGGGACAGAGGAAAACACATCTACAGACTGAAAGCGCAGAATTTTCTTTTCTTTAGGAATTTTGTTTGCTTTTCTGTTTCTGATGTTCGCAGGACCATTTGACTACTACATTGATATCTCTGTTTCTTTAGGCTAATTGTATTCTGAAGAGGCAACTGATAGTTCATCACAGGTCATATAGAGCAGTGGTTCTCAACCTTCCTAATGTTGTGACCCTTTAATAGGGTTCCTCGTGTTGTAGTGACCATCTACCATAACATTATTTTGTTGCTACTTCATAACTGCAATTTTACTACTGTTATGAGTCATAATATAAATGTCTGTGTTTTCCAATGGTCTATGAAAAGGTCATTTGATCTCCAAGGGGTCACGACTCAAAAGTTGAGAGCCACTGATATAGAGCCATTTTAATTGTTCAGTTAGAATCTTTCTTCAATACAGGGTCTCAGTATGTGGATGAGACTAGCTTTGAATTCACAGAGATCTGCCTGCCTCTTTCACCTGAGTGCTGAGATTTTAAAAGTTTAAGTTTTATTCCACTTTTTATTTTTTAAATACTTTTAAAGTCTTGTCAATGGTTTTAATTACAGGTTCTACAGAGTCACTGCTTTCTTTCACACCTAAAGTGAAAGATAATCGCAATCAGTCAGCAAGCAACGAGGTAAGTCTAACAGGAGAACTGATGTGGGTTTGGTCCGTGTTGAACGGTGTTCTTATTTACATTTTAGTTATCTGATTCTTTAAAGAGAATCCTATGCTTCTCTTGAATTTTATAAAATTTGAGCTATTATAATTTTTTGACATTTCTAGTCATTTAAAATTGGGACAAAATCCATAAAATTATAGCAATTCTTTTAATTTCTTCTATACTAATACTTAAGAGTTTGAGGGAAATGAGCAGCTTTAAGGTTCCTGATCAGACTAACAAGTGTGGTTGTCTTTGGAAGACTGATAGGACTGGTCACTGTCCACAAAAAACTGCTTCTGGTTGGTTATGTGCCTTAAAAGGTTAGATTGATTTATCATCCAAAAGTGGAACAGTTTTAGGTAGAATTTTTTTAAGTATGTGTTTGAACCCAGGGGCACATGCCAAACACAGGGCTGGATCACTGAGCCACACTCCTAGAGGTAAAGGTTTTGAAGCTAGTGGCCCAAGAAATATTATTTGGAAGCATAGTGTTAATTAGAAAGATCATAGAAGTAAAGTTCATTAAAAACTAATAAACAGTGTTCTACCACTGGATCTTAGCTATACTACCTAGACTGATCTTGATTTCATGATTCTGATTGCTGTCTCTGTATAGATTGCCTTTAGTTTTAAGGAATGTAGACAGCCATATCTTTCAGAATTTGAGAGACTTTTTATAATATGAGAGATTATATTGATTTTTGAAAATTAAAATCAACTTTTAAATTTTCTGGGAACTCGATCATTAAAGTCTGAAGAAAGAAATTTGTACTTTGACAGTATTATACCTTTGTATAATGAATTGACTTTTTGTTTTGGCTTAAATTTAGTTTAATATTTCAGATGCTTGCGTCCATAGTCATGAATATTGGTCTCCTCTTCTGCCTTAAAATGTTTTTATTGGTCTTAACTTTTGAGTTTCCTTTTCTAGGTGGGATGAAGTATGTTATAGCAGGTCAGCAATACCCTACTGTGATAGCTAGTTAAACATAAAATATAAACAGATTATAGTTTTATAGCTTTCAGAGATAATGAAGACAGGTTTCACAGTATATAACCTGCTGCTAATTTTCCTCACGTTTGCAGGGAAAAAAATGTTCTTTATTGTTTGCTGACTTAGGGAGGTTTTTCTCTCTTGCTGATAGGTACAGGCATTAATCTAGCTTCTGTCTGTCTGAGAGGAGTATTTCTCCCAGTTTCAGATGGTTCTTTTTCTGGCCTTGGTATGTATGCATATATTATGTATTTATAATTATTAACTAATTTGAGACCCTGTCTCTCTTGAGCTTATACTCATGAGACTCTTGCCTCAGTTTACTGAGTGCTGGGATCACAGATGTGTACCATTGTGTTTAGCTTTAAAAAAATTTTTGAGACAAAGTCTCATATAGCTTAGTCTGACTTTGAACTTGCTGTGTATCCAAGGATGGCTTTGAACTCCTGACCGTTCTGTCTCCTAGGTATTGTGATTATAGTTGTACACTAGCTTGCCTGATTTAAATGCACATTTTGATGAATTTTTTTTGTGCTAATTTGTAGCAAATTATTATTATTGGGGTGCACCCAAGAGCTGGCCAGCAGCTGGCTCCTAAGTTGGGTTAAAGAGAGCAGCCTCAAATCCGTCTCTTAGGTCCCTTTTAAGAAGCAAAATCATGAGTAGTTTTACAGAAGGGAGACATGGGGCAATAAGGAAATACAAAAAAAATTAAAAATCATGTTGGCACCCACCATTTGATTAGGGAGGGGTCAGCGAGAGTCAGTGATGTGGGATTTCCCTCTGTATGCTGTGAATATGTTTTATTGCCATTGGCTAATAAAGAATTTTTATAATTATGATCTTGATCAAGATATACAGTATGAAGAGCTGAGATTCTATTACAGGTAGTTGTGGTAGACAAATGAGATTTGTGTGTGTGTGTGTGTGTGTGTGTGTGTGTATGTTTGCGCGTGTGTGTATGTGTGCGCGTGTGTGTGTATGTGTGCGCGTGTGTGTGTGTATGTGTGCGTGTGTGTGTGTGTGTGCGTGTGTGTGTGTGTGTGTGTGTGTGCGTGTGTGTGTGTGTAATTTTAAAATTTATTAACATAAAGTTGGTAATAATTTTCTAAAACTTTTCAATGTTTTTGGGATCCATAATGACATTCTCTTTTACATTCTTGACACTGGCACTTTGCTTTAGCATTTTCTTTCATTAGTGTGACAATTCTACCAATTTTGGTCTTTGAGCAAAACTAAAGGAAGCTTAGTTTTGTTGATTCTTTCTTACACTTGTTATCAGTCTCATTATTTTTCTCCTTATATAATTTCTTCTATGCTATTTTTTATTCATATATATGTTTGTGTGTTTTTTCTCCTGTAAAAGATATTTCAAAACAGTAGAGATTTTGTATGTGATTGGGACTTTCTAAGCTGCAAGGTTAGTGTGGCCTTCAAATAAGAAATGTAATTTGGTGAATTTCAGAGATCAGTGGCATAAGAGCACCACTGCTCTTCCTAGAGGATCTGAATTCAGTCTCAGCACTCATGTTGTTGGCTCACAGCTGCCTGACTCAAGGTCCAAGGGGTCTGACACCCTCTTTGACTTCTATACTACCAGCACATATGTAGCATACACAGTTACACAGACATACGAGGAAATAGGATAAAAATCTTATTTTTTTGTTATTTTTAATTATGTGTGTGTGTGTGTGTATGTATGTATGTATGTATGTGAGTACAAGTACCTGACGAGGCCAGAGGTGTTGGTTCCTCTTGGGCCTGGAGTTAAAGATGGTTGTGAGTCACCTGCTGTAGATACTGAGGCTCAAACTTGGGCCCTTTGGAAAGCAATGTGACCTCCTAACTGCTGAAGTATCTCTCCAGCACAATAAAATAAACCTTAAAAAAAAAAGAAATGTAATTTGTTCCTTTGAATTAAAATTCAAAATGAAAATGAAAATTGAGTTTTATTGCTGCTATACAAGTAGGACATGTAGCCAGGTTCATAAGAGGAAAGGACATCAAGACTAGACATCTATGTACAGCCTCCTATATTATCCTACGAACCATGAATGTTAGGTCTGAAGTGTAATATGCATACACATTCATTAATTAATCTATGCTCTTCTGAATTTATTATTTTCTGTATTGACTCTTAATTTAATTTAATACTTTTGAACTTTGACCTCATTTGTTTTTTTTAAGACTTATTTATTTATTATGTATACAGAACATGTATACAGCATTCTGTCTACATATATGCCTGCATACCAGAGGAGAATACCAGATTTTATCATAGATGGTTGTGAGCCACCATGTGGTTGCTGGGAATTGAACTCATGATCTCTGGAAGAGCAGCCAGTGCTCTTAACCTCTGAGTCATCTCTCTCCTCATTTGTTTTTTTACTGTGTCAATAGAGTATTACACTCTAGGCTTAGAGTATGTGTGATTCAAAACCAAGGATTTTTATTTATTTGCCTACCATTCACAACATTTAGTGTACCATTAGTGAGAGACAATCATGTTTATGTTGTTTCTCCCTGGGAAAGCCTTTTTGACACTAAGTCCATTATTGGGTTCTGGTTCCATGGACATTCCCTGTCTATCAAGTGTAATCCCAGAAGGAAACAAAACAAGTGTTTACCATAATCATGTTTTGTAAAATAGTAAGCCCAGTTACAATATCAGGTTCACCCTTACCACTTGTTAAAGAAGAAGCATTGTAAAATTCAGTCTGTAGATTCTTGGCAATGCCTAGCCCTTTCAGAGAGCCCTCTCAATGATTAGGTATGCTGTGTTAACACTTTGTTACAGAGTGAATTTCTAAATATTGTATTGTTGCATACTTCCTTTTATATTTTTAACTTTACCTTGATGATATCATTATGTATTTTCATGAACTTGCTTTTTTGTTACTATAATTATTTGTTGCTTGTGTTAACTCTGGTGTTTTAACTCTTAGAGATATTATATTATGGCCCACAGTTTGTTTATTTCCTCTCTGTTCAGTAGTTCTTTAGTATACATTGCCAGCTGCTTTGTTGTCTAAAGCTCCCCCCCCAATTTAAAAGCATGCATCTAATCAGAATTGACAATATACTAGAAGTATATCAAATGTATTTTTTTTGTGCTCAGTGCCAGGTATCACATTCACCATCAGTTCCAGTTTCTTCAGGGAGGAAAGAAGCTCCTCCACAAGTTACTGCAGAACCAAGTGAAGTCGCTTTTGGATCAGGTTGGTAGTAGACTCAAATGACAAAGGTGGTGCACACATTGTGCCAGGTGACAAGATCAAGGTCAGACTAGGTGCAGTTGCTAGTGGTCAGGCTTATTTTTCTTCCTTTTCCTTTCTTCCTTATTCTGTGATATGTGCTGTTTTTTTTGTTTTTTACATTTATCTTTGTTACAAATTAGAAAAGTAGTATTCTGTTTGTGCTAATAGACTCAAAGATTTACAAGAAAAATCTAATTGCTTCCATCATTTTTTTGGGGGGGTGTGGTAACACTTGAACTCTTCCATACCTTCATTGGTGCTCATAAATTTAAAAAATATAAATGTATGTGACATGGTTACATGGTTGCCCTTTGTGTCATATATTTTTCTAACTGATCCCTAGACTATAGGCTTGAAATTATAAAGAGATATATTTAAATTTTTTTATTATTGTTTGCAAATACATGTGTGTATGCTAATTTGCATGCCATGGCATGCATGTTGAGGGCAGAGAATTACAGTGTGGAGGTGGGTCTCCTTCCATATTCACATAGGTTCCCACGATTGAACTCAGGTTGTCAGGCTTCCTTGGTAAACAGCTCTACTCCCTGACCCATCTTGCCAGTTCTGGAATAATAATAATAATAATAATAGTTATTATTATTATCGACACAGGATCATACTATGTAGCTCTACAACTCATTATGGCTGATTTTCAAGTAGGAAATCAGTTTGCCTCTTTTTCCAAAGGTTTGTGTCACAATGACAGCTGAAATTATATTTTTAACCATGGAACTTAATACTTTATTTTAATTGTATAATGTGTGACTCTTACCTGTAAGTTGCCTAGTTTCCTATTTTGATTAAACAAGTCTTTTTTCCTATAGTTGAACATAGTCATAATAAGATGTTAATTTTGTTCTCTTTGTTAAAATTCTAGAATGGGCTTTATGTAATAATCTTCTGATAATCATTTATATTTCTGTCTTCCTTAACAAACATATATCTCCTTCAAAAACGCTAAAGTTTGAAGGGCACTATAGCATGTGAAAGGATAACTAAGGTTATAAATGTGTGCAGACTAATTATCTGATAAGGACTTTTCTTCCATAACACTTCCCTTGTCCCCTAGTACAACCTAGTACTTTGCTGCTCTGCCACTGCAGGCAGAACAGAGCCACCATGGCAAGGGTTGGAGTCTCCCTCTAGTCTGTGTTCCCTTACGTTATTGAGAGAATATGAGTTCTGGGTTGCAGACATCTCAGGAGCCTAGTCCAGGGACAAATGGGAAGTGAACAGGAGACCCAAGAGGCCACACAGTGAATTATTCCTTAAGTCTTCAGTTTTCTAGGTAGGTACCCTAGTTTCACTCAGTTTTCAGAGCCCTATTATAGTTGGTTGATTGATTATTTCTAAGGAATTTAGTTACATTAAGAGGGAGAAATAAATGATATCTTACCACCGATCCAAAAGCCCTTTTTTGTTGTATTTAATTTTTTAAATATTTGCATTTAAGAGCAATGAGTTAGTATGAATACTAGCTAGTCATTTTTCTTTGACATTTGAAGACAGAAGGTGATTTTATATAAGCATGTATATATATTAGCTCTATGTACACTATGTATGCACTTGTTTTATGTATACCTATTATATATGTGTGTATGTTTGTCTAGCCACATTAACTTACTTGCTCTTAGCCTATGTATAGCAGAATCTCATAATTTCTCTAACTTCTTTGTATTCAAACTTTGTGCTGTTCAAACTTTGTATTTCAAGACTTTAGGCATAAATTTTGGAGTTTCTGTGTTTGAGGATTTCTGTGTTTCCATAGCCTCAGATGGTGTGAATCAAGTACATGTTTCACTTCATTAATTTGGTAAATCAGAGCTTCCTAAGTACATAGTTATTTTAATTATAAGCCTTTGATTCTAAGCTTAATAAACCGTGTGCCTTCTGAAAGCTTTTTATTCTAATTGTGGTTGATTTTGAAAAGTACATTTAACTTAAATACTGTTTTCAGCTACTGAGAGCTGTCATATAATTTTCTTTTAGTTCAGGCTAATGAAGTTCATCAGAAAATTCCGACTACTGGTGTTTCTGAAATTCCAGCGGACTCAAACAGCATGTCAAGTGAAAAAACAAATGGATCCCACAGTGCCACCAAGGATCACCTTTACTTACCTGGTGGCTCCCCTGTTGTTCCTTTGTATGAAAAAATGTCTGAGTCGCAGAATGTTATTTCATCTCTCAGCCAAAAGAGAGGGGCTTACAACTTAAGAAATTCAATAGATACTAAATCTTCATATACAGACATTTCTCTTAAAACCAGGAAAAGGTAATTTCTGTTTAAGTAACAATAATTCTGCTTAATTTTTATCCTAATTTTGCAATGCTAATTTAGCCTTTCATGTAGGTTTGAATAAATGAGTTAAGGGGTAACATGAGAAAAGAACAAATGCTTTTTGCTTAGTTTTAGTTTTTAATTAGTAGTAAGGAAAGCATTAAAGTATACTTCAAAGAAATTTGGAGTTTAACTTTTCTATAGTCTGTGGAAAATACTTTCTTTGTGGGGCTGGTGAGATGGCTCAGCAAATTAAGGCACCTGGTATACAAGTCTGGTAAACAGAGCTCAATCTCTGAAATCTCTGAAAACCAAATAAAGATAGAAGAGAAATCTGACCCCACGAAGTTGTCCTCCAATACCCATGTGCTTGCTGTGGCCTGCGCATCCTTATGGACATGCTAAGTTATCCTCCAGTGCCCAAGTGCATGTTTTGGCATGTGCATCCTTATACATTATGCAACGTTGTCCTCCAATGTCCATATGCATGTTTTGGCATGTGCATCCTTATACATGATGCATGCACATACACATTAAGACAAAGTATTCTTTGAAATAATAAGTTTTCTGTAATATCTTTTGTTTACTTAACTTTTTTAGTTATCATACAAAATAATTTCCATTGACATTTTTATTTATCATTATTCATTGCTTACATTCTCTCCACCCCATTATCTTTAACTTCTTGAAAGAAACAATTTATATTTCCTGCGTACTATGTACGATTGCAAGGGTCAGTATTAGGTCCTTTCTAGAACAGCAGAGTATGGATGAATTATAAACCCAGTTCCAGTTCTGAGAGTTTTCTTTTTGCCTTCCGGATACAAAAAATAGGTTATTTAAGATACTTTGTTATTTGGAGACATTTGTAATAAGTGTAATTTACCTTGTGGAGAATTTGTCTTACCCTTTTAACCTTCCAGGTTAAACTTTGAAGGTAAAGATAGTTTGAACAAAGCAGAAGTAGAGAATAATGTATTAGAAGTATCAGAAGGACAAGAAGGGACATCGTCAGAAACATCTCAGAAAAGAGCACAAGATTTGACCTATGAAATTCAACCACAGTCTAGAAAGAGTTTTTCAGCATTGTATTTAGAAACTGTTAAGAGGAAAAGTGAATCCAGGTAAGTTATTACAGAACTGTCCTTTGGGACGGTTCTTCTGTCTCTTTCCGTGAACTATATCTGGGTGTTCTGTTACTTAATACAGAAATCTTTTTATTTTCTTTATTGTTGAATTTTGTACAATGTGTTTTGATCATTTATTCATACTCCTCATTTTTGCAACTCTTAACTCTTTCTAGACCCTGCCTTTCCTTCCCTACCCATGCAGCTTTGTGGCCTCCTTTCTTCTCTTTTAGCACTTGTCAAGTCCATTGTGTGCTGCACATGCACTCTTACATGCGCGACCTTCCCACTGCAGCATAGTTTGCTTACCAGGGCCAGGAAACCAAGTGTCTCTGCCAGCAGCTGTGAGTTGACAGTAGCTCCTTGGTTAGGGGTGGGCCGTGCCGGCCTTGACTGGCTTGAGTTTGCACAGGTCTTATGTATACTGTCACATGTCTGGAAGGTATTGTTTCTTTGTAGCCATCTGTTGCCTTCGGCTCTTACATTCTTTTCACTTCTCTTCCACAGAGAAGGAAATATCATACAGATATCGTACTTAGGAAAATCCATGGTCTCAGTCTCTCTCTCTCTTTCTCTCTCTCTCTTCTACTGCAAACAACAAATAAAAAACAGAACAAAAAAACATGAACCAGAACAATCAATGTGTGAATTGCCTAAGATGTACAAATGTGTCCTTTTATGAATATTTTAGCAAGTTTGTAATTCTTTTATAACTGAGTATATACAAGGATGATATTGCTTCCTTACTAAATAAATTTAGGGTTAGCTATGTGAGCAAAGAAGGCTGTAGCAGGATGACATTATTTGACCTCATAACAACAAATTGTGTGGCATTGTCTGCTTTTAATAAGAATCATGTTTCTTTTATGTAGCACTAGACTTCTTGTGCCTGTGGTACCCTGGACAACTTAGTTCTGAACTGTTATTATAATATTGAAATATGTGTGAAAATAAGCATGAGATGTTGGAACATAAGATGAAATTTTATATGTTATAGTTCATTTATATGAGTAATTATTACTTTCACTTAACATCTGTGTATTTGCTGCTATTATGAGTGGAGTTCTATCAGATATAAAAAAGATAAACCATTCAAGTTCAGTTCTCTTAAAATATTAGATATGATGGTTTATTATATTGAATATTGCTAATGTTTTAAATATGAAGAATTGAAGATATCTGTACAAATAGTTTAATCAAACATATATAGATATGGCATGCACTTTCTATTGTAAGTAAATACATTTGGGTTGTAATTATACAGTTGTGAAATTCACGGTTTTAGTGTGTTTATTGATTTAGGGACATCAAAGTAGATGTCCAACTTTAAATTTCTGTGATCTTAATATTATAATATGGAGGGGAAATTTAAGAGAAAATCAAGGAGATGTGATTGTATTTCCTGTATAGAATATTTTATTCACTGAAAAAAGATGAAACTTCAGCTACTTTATCTGTTAAAATCATGTTTGTTTCAGTTCCGGTGTTAGGCACACAGCAGCAATTTCACCTCACTCATCTCCAAAGGCCAAGACGTTATTAGAAGATGAATTTATTATTGAAGAATCGGGGAGAAGTTTTGAAAGTCAACCTTGGGTGAAAATTCCAAGGAAAGACAGACATCAGAGTCACCACTTACCATCTCCTGGAAACACTGTAGCTTCTAAAGATAAGAAGCCAGGAGAAAAACCTCATAGTGTGTCAGCTACGTCTTTGATAAATGACACACAGTTTAATAAGTCTCCCCCAATAGAGAAATCTCATCCCTCTGTTGAAAAAATCCTGGGGACTAGTTCTACAGATGAATTGGAAAATGACTATAGGTCTACAGAAAATAAAATACATTCTGAGAATGCCCAAAAACCATCTGGAAGCAAAAGGACTATAAGACAGAAGCAGAAAAGAGTATCAAAGCCTAAAGTAGTTGAAGAGCAACTTGATATGGGACAGGGTATAAAGAAAAAGAGAAATATGTCAAATACTGACAAGTTACAACTAAATTCAAAAAGAAATATGGAAGACTGTGAAGAGGCAAGAAATAAATCTATTCCCGAGAAGCAGATATCCCCTGTTGGTAAGTGTTAATAGTAATTCAAAGTATGAATAGTCTTTCATTATTTTATAATTGTTATATTCCTCCTTTGCTTTGGGAGATAGGCAAAGTAAAGCTGCCTACAAAGATTCAGAAGCCTATTGGGGATTCTTTTTGACAATCTCTCTAAGTTTAGTTCAGTGCAGGGTCACTTTTTTTTTTATTTAAATAGATCCTAAGGCAGAAACACACATGAAGAAGTGAAAGACTATAAACAAGTTAATGAAACACTTTCCCCTGCTAACATATTGTGTGTGTGTGTGTGTGTGTGTGTGTGTGTGTGTGTGTGTGAGAGAGAGAGAGAGAGAGAGAGAGAGAGAGAGAGAGTATATAGATTGACATATGTATATAGGATGAAAGTAGAAAATAAGTCTCTACCTAATATTGCCATTAATCTTTATATCTTCATAAATATTTTCAGTAAAGACTGGTTAATGAATATAATGTTCTGATGTGTTGCTATACTGATTGTGATTTTTCCATTGTTGTTACAAATTACCACACAGTAGCATAAACAACACACTTAATTTTTCTTTCAGTCTTATATAAGTTTTAAGTCAGAAGTTTCACAGGACAGAAAAAATACCTTTGTTAAGCTCTGTTTCTGGTGTGTCTGTAAGAGTTCTGCTCCTTACCTTCCCATCCTGTTGAACTACCCATAATCTTTGACTGATGGTCCTTTTGATAGCCATCAAAGCTAACAATGCTTGGTTTCTTCTATATCTGATTTCTTGCTTTGCCTGCTGTCATCCCAAGTTTTGTTTGATCACAAGTTTTAAAGATACATGGATTGAGCTGGTAGGGTTAATCCAAAGTAATCTCATTTTAGGGTTTATAATTGAATCATACTTAATTTTTCAATTTCTTTTTCCAAAATTAGATTTCAAAACAATTAAAAGGTAAGGCAGTTATTACCCGTTTTATTTTGTATAGTGGTAAGTACAAAGACTATTTTGTTTCTCAAAAGACACTCAGACTAGGGAGATGGCGCTATACCTGTCTTTTAAGCAGAATAACTTGATTTTGATCCCCAAAACTCAAGTTAGAAAAATATAACTGTTGTTGTTTCGCACATTTGTAATGCCAGTAATAGGGAGGCAGAGAAAGGGTTGATGGCCAGTAAACATAGTCTAATGGTTGAGTTCTAGGCAGTAACTCTCTCAATAAAAGATAAAATAAAATAAAAATAAATAAATAAGGAGAAGAGATGGCATCTAAGGTTGTTCTTTGGTTTCCTTACTTAATGTACTTGAATGTATGTACCTGCATGCACATACATGCATATTTCTCTTTTAGTTTATGACTAACAGTGTGAAGTATTTAACATTTAATTGACAGAAAATCAGAGATCTACTTGAAAACATGGCTTTTTAAAGACATATATAAGAAAATAGCCCATGAAATAAATGTAAGATGTTTCTATAATTGGGTTTTATTTTTTTGAAGTCTGTTGTGAACTTTGAAAACTGATGTTTTGAATAGTTTTTATGGTTTTTCTTTACATTAGAAAAGAAAAAGAAAAAGCATAGCACCCAAAAAGATGTGGAAGAATCCAGGAAGAAATGTTTTTCTGGTGGTTCCAAGGACAAATGTATGCCTGAACAAGGGCAAGAGATTAACAGAAGTAAGAGAATTTCTCGTCGTCCATCTGAGTGGTGGCTGGTAAAACCAGAGGAAGGTAAGTATTTTTATTTAGATCACCTTTGTTGAAAGGGCCCTGCAATTTCTTGGCTTGTGTGTGACTTTTCTTCCATTTTATAGAAAATGTTATAAAGACAAAGTTAAAATGGTTCACCAACAGAAATATTGTCAGTTATGAAGTATAAAGTTACACAATGTGCTGTGGACAAACATATCCAAAAACAGAAGTCTTTGTACTTAGGAAGATTACATTCTATGAGGGAAGGCAATATAGGTAAAATAATTCATGTAATGATAGATGTTTAAAAATAAGGTGAAGGATAAAGATAAGAAAGAGATGTCAGGGAATGATAGAATTGAGAACTACTTTAGTACAAGATGCTATGACTAGATAGGCTCCTACAAAGAAAGATGATAAACTGATCATTTGGAATTACAACAGACACTCAGAGAGAAAGGTTTTATTTTGCCTTACAGTTCTGGAGGCTAAGGTACGGCGTCAGGAGGCTAGCTGCTTATATTGCCTCCATACTCAGGGTCCAAGATGGATCACTTTAGTTAACACAATTCGTGAAACCTCCTTGTAGGCATACCCAGAGATCCATTTCCTGGGAGATTTCGGTTCTATTAAATTGACATTTATCATAACAGATGGTCAGACGAGTAATGGGTAGAGTGAGAGACAAAATTACTAAGGAAGTTTGTGGTGAATTTAATAAATCTAGTATATGTCCTGTAAATACAACTGTAAAAAATGTATAAAACAAATTTAGCTTATGAAATTGGTATGTGCATTTATATGTAAATATGACGTTGATATTTTCATTTGAACAAACATGCTATTTGAAGTTGTCATTGAATCTTTCAGGTTCTATTGATAGAAGCTTTTCAAGAGAAAGTAAATTATCAGTGGTGCATCACAATGGAAAAAAGCGGGCTAGAAAAAGTCAGTTATCTAAGAATACTGGGAAAAAACCTTCTCCATCAAAAAGACGGAAGACAGAGAGCAGCTCAAGAGTACAGAAGTCTTTAAACGCTAAGGGTTCTAGAAGAAGTGTTAGTCATGATGAAATTTCTGATTCCCAGAGTGAGCCATTGGAAAACGAGGCAGACCCAACTCAGAAGAAAAGTCTTGATATTTCTGGGTAATTTCTGTTGTATTTACAATATAACTTTTTTTTTCTTTTGCCCATTGAGAATATAGTAATTTGTCTGTGTTATTCAGTACTCAGAGTGAGAATAAGCATAAAGAGCTTGGTCAAAGTTGTTATTAAATCCAGGCCCTGCAATTAGCTGGATGACACCGAGGCATAGTACCACTCTGAACTTGTTTCCTCACTGTAAAACTGGGAATGGTCGGTGTGTAGTTATATAGTAGAGGCCGTTGACTGTTAGACTCAGTGTCACTCAGCATCACCCTTTATGATTCTCAGGCCAGATTTGTACTGTTTTCTCTATTTTTATTTCTTTTTAATTGGGAGTCTTGGTAGAATTCAGATACCTTTGTGAAATTTAGTTGTAAATCTTAAGGTCTGAACATGATGAACTTATGCTTGCTGTAGCTAATTTTATATTGCTTGTATAAACATTTGTATATTGTTTCTAGAAGAAAGAACTTTTGAAAAATAATTTTAACTTTTTCTTTTTCGCCATAGACCTACAGGAGGCTCTAAGTATCAAAACAGTGTTATTACTTCACAGAATGCTCATTTAAAGTCTCATACTGGGAAATATACACGTAAATCATCTATGAAATCTAATTCCAATGCAAGAGAGCCTAAAAATTCAATTTGGGAAGAAAGGTGTGTATATAGTGCAGTGAAAATAGACGTTGCTCACTGTACTGGTTATCCACTTCTATGTTACTTCCAAACATAATTTATCTTTGCTACTGACTTTCTGTGGGGCCAGAAGTCTGGACAAGGCTTAGCTAGCTGTTTTGGCCTTGGAGGTGTCTTTTTCTTTTGTGTCCCTTTGATGACTTGACTACTTGGCTGGACTAGAGGATCCATTTATGTCTCATGACTGTTGGTTGAAGGTTGCAATTCTTTGTCGTCATTTGGTAGTTGGCCTTCGTTTCTTGTAATGTGGCAGCTGACTTCCTACAAAACAAATGATCTGAGAGAAGATAGTGACCATAAGGGAAATCAAATGTCTTTTCAATTACTTACCCTCTGGAGTTCTACACTCACGTTTATAGTTTTCTGTTCATTAGAAGCAAATCATCACAAGTCCAGATCACAATCAGGAAAATGGAAATGGAACTTTATCTTTTGAAAAGAAGATTGTCACAGAATTTGTAGATATGTTATTAAAATATCCACTGACACTAAACAAGTGAGATTAACCTGCTTGTTTTAGCTCTGAACTGTTAAAACCTTAAAAAAAATGCAAGACAAGTAAATGAGAATAAACCTTAACCTTTGAAGGGAGGACTATGGGTTCTTTACTGCTTGAGGGGTTGTGATTGGGACTTGGAGGAGGAAAGGAACCTGGGAGTACCATAGCTTGAGTCAACTATGATGATTTTTGGGCTACATGCTTAATTTCATATTTTGTAGATTATTTCTTTTAAAATTAAGATATGCTTGCTGATTTCTTTTATTTGTGTGAAAGAATGTTGTTATTGGACTTGACTAAATTTATAACTGATTCATGAGTTAACTTTAAATATTCTACCTGAGCTTTGTGGTAATGCCTATAATCCAAACACTCAAGAGGCTGAGACAGGAGGATTGCAAATTCTAGACCAGTTTAGGCTACAGTAAGGAGGCCCAGGGCCCAAGCTACTTAATCAGTCAATCTCTCTGTTTCTGTGTCTCTGTCTCTGTCTCTGTCTCTCTCTCTCTCATTTATATAAACTTGTACTTGTCAGATTTGACTAAATTATGGGATCAAATCGCAGTTCTTGCTGCATGGAAACACATTGTTGATGACCGATTGTATCACTTTTAGTTTCATAGGAAAGAAACTGATGGCAGTTTTAAGACATGATCATAGTTATAAAAGCACAACTTTTATGGTTTATTTTGTTCTTAAGTGGACCTTCTAGGTTCAAGGATCATGTAATGTCTAGAAGCAATAATTCTGACATGGGTGATGAAAAGGATCAGGAGAGTTTGGGTAAGTTACTGATTTCTACTATCTTGGTTTCTATGGCACTATGAATATACAGTAAAGTATTCTGTGTTTATTTAAATGTTCAGTAATAGTAAATGTGGGTGTACTCCTGAGATTACTGCTTTATAGTTGGAAATTTGTTGAAATGGGCCATATGGGTAAAGCCCTTGTTACTGAGCCTGACAACCTGAGTTCAGTTCCCTAGAACCTACCACATAGTAGTAGACAGAGAGAATTGATTACTGTAATTGTTCTCTGCTCTTCACACATATGCCATGGCGTATGTGTGCAGTACCCTCTGCAGCAAAATAAATAGGACAGAAAGAAAGAAAGAAAGAAAGAAAGAAAGAAAGAAAGAAAGAAAGA